TTTGACTGTGTAACATATCACTGTCCGGAGGCTATCATTTTCTTTAATATCTTATCTTAAAGTTTATACTGACATCAAACTGTTGATATGGTTTTCTGGGGGTGTTCCTTTCTTTTGAATGGCATCTTATGTCAGATTTAATATTATTGACCAAAATATCTCACAACAGAAGACTGGATGTTATTATCACTCAGTGACATACTGTTTTAATGACTCAAGCCAAAAAAAAATTAATCAGCACTCAAAAATAACAATGACAAAAAAATATTCCATATTAAGTGGTAACCCTGTAATCATAATTTCTTCAAGCAAGACATCAATCCTGTGCAGTACCTGAAGCTAACACTAACGTTAGGTTTATATAATTTTATTTATATTTTTAATTGGCAGGGCTTTTCCAACAAAGGTTTCCTTTTGATTTGACATTCTGTATGTATCTTGTTTATATGGTTTTGATATTCATCTCATGACGTGGTCCTAAACACCAATATTAATGTAAACGTACACCTAATGTTCCCAGTAAAAATATACGTAATAAAATATAAATAAAAAATGATCATAACTCAATATTTGTTTCACAATCAGATACGAATTACACCTCTGGCTTATGTAAAATGTAGGCTTAAATTACATATTCAGAACCATGACATTTAGAAAAAGTTTTGATAAAAAGGTGGAAGCAACTTTCATTTCAGATAAGTTACACTGCTGAAATTTATGAAAAAATCTATTTAAATCTGATATTCAGGACTTCCACTACCTGCCAAAAAAGTCCCTGATTTTAAATCACAATGTTGTGCTGTATAACGGAACACCGTGCAGTCTTTGGGTACTGTTTTTTTTTATTCAAGGACACAAGAAATATTTGTTAACGCACAAGTGACAAAAATACTAAGCTTATATCGCATATTTAAAAAAATGCCAAATTCTGTCTAAATGTCACGTCTAACCCGTATTCTGTTTACCTTGTAACGTGGTGCTTTTCATAAATTTCCCTGTATGTGAACAATGGGGGCACTGATTAAATACACGACGCAATCTATATCTACATATGGTGTAAGAACGCAAGCTGGAAGAAATTAAAAATAAAAACAATAATATTGCAGAAATATATTTCTGTCACCGATCACAATTACATAATTAACTCAAGCAAAAATGGACGTTTTATTCATTTCTGATACAATTTCAATTTCGTCAGGCACCACACCCCGTCAACAAGTTTCCTGTAGCAGACACCAAAGTTGTGCAATTTTATGTACATAGATCTATAATATGTAGAAAGTGTCTGGCGATAGCAAATAATATCAATAAAGTGTCCAGTTAGTAAACTGACAATGTTCTCATGATTTCACCTTATGTTTTGTGCTTTGTAACAAGAAACTGTGGAGCCTAAAATAAATCATTTTGTTATCATTTTTTATTCAAGTCAAAGAAGAAAATCTGATTACATGAACACGCGAAGTAAGAATAATAAACACGTCCATATCTTTTAATGTCTAATGATTTTCAGATCCATAGAAAAAGATTGACTGGTTGCCTTTCTGGTCGAAATTATAATGATAGCAACCAAATAAGAACTCTTCCAAGCTAATGATGCCATCTTTATCCCGGTCAGTGTCGTTCATAGGTACTTCTGTTGGCAAGGTGTTACGGAATATTGTTAAAAAGTTGAAATACTCATCAGCGGACATTTCATTGTCGCAGTTAGCATCAAGGATGTTGAACCAGTCAGTCCAGTAATCAAACAGTAGGGCTTCCAACGTTTTATTATGCAGGTCAATTTGGAATGCCCGAAGCCACATTGTTAAATTCATTCCATGCGCCAGATTTAATTTGGTATCAAGCATAAAAGACTGCCATTCCAAGTTCATTAATCCGAATAATGCCTTAGCCCTCCACGAGGGAAGCACTCGAGCCCCCCTTACCGCTATCAAATCAACGAATTCTCCTTTGTCAACCATCCCATCAATGTTGACGTCCAGCATTCACTTTCACTTTCATTTTCCACATTGCAGACGGTTCTTTCTGGAATAGCTTTGTACTTTAATAATATGTTGGGATCAAAAATAGAACAGTAATAGTAATATATGTTAAAATACTGACTAAATTATTCTTTCTACACAGTGCTGCATGCTGTCTACTAGATCATCAAACATGTATTAAAATATCAAATTTTCATGTCTAAGGGCAGTTTTTAAAATGGTGATTGATTCTTATTTCTTATGCGGACTCTAATCATTATTATATACATGCATATAGTATATTTCAAATATCAAGTTTTGTTAGAAAGAAAGGACACATAAAAAGTCATAACTAACCTCTTGACCATCATATCTGATAATGCTGCCATCACAGGAGACAAGGAAAACAATTGGTAACAGAACAATGAGAAGATCCATGATAACGCTGCGAATCTGAAATAAATATTATAGTTATACAAACTACAGGCGTATGTTTTAAGTTAATAAATGATTCAATCCTGGTATCAATAAGGATAGGAAGAAATTCCAAATAACCTTGAAAATGGATTGTTTTAACAATTAAAATCAACTAACTATTTTATTCTTAAATTCTACCCGTTTGCATGTGCTATTTTATATGCCTAGATTACTGAGTTATCACAACAGCCTTATACTGTGTATTATGCAGAAATAGTTATGTCCTAAAATAACACCATACTCACTCTGCCTCAGCTGTCCCTGCATTCATGCGGAGTGGCAATGGAAGGCACCATATCACGTGGTCGTAGAAACAAATTTAGGTATGATAGCAGCCCAAATATCTGATCTTATGATTTTTTTAAAAAATTGTATGTAATGACAAACTGAGATAAATGAACAAAGTCTATATTAATCCGATTTTTAGGACGTCCTACTTTTGTTCTGTTTACCATGTAATCTGATGTAGAACATGGGACCCTTTTCATCAATTTCCTTGTATGTGAACAATGAGAACATTGATTCAAAACACTAACATGATGGATATACCAATGATGTGGGAACATACTAATTTGCAGGGATATTCATTTTGTCACCTGCTCAGAAGTCACTAATGGTAGATCTCAATTATATACATTAACGCGATCAGGAATGTATTTGTTTTTTATTTGTGATATAATTTCATTTTTTCAGGCAGGATACCCCTGCTGCCAATTTCCCATAAAACAGAACTGTTACCCTTGCCGAAAGCATGTTGTGCTGCCTACAGGAGATAATTGCAGTACGCGGTAGACACTCATGCTATTCGACATGTGACCTTCAACGAACACATCGTTATGGAAATTGTGTGTAAATGTGGTCACACTTGGTGGTATCTTCTCATCTTCATCTTCAATGAACATTTCTTAACCTCTGTGGAAATCACAGTGACACATTGCATTTGAAGGGTTACATGTTATAAAGTTGAAGAATGGGTATAAACTATGGATATCTTCACCTCATTTTTGTATGTTCTCTATCATTAATCATGTTAGAGGTGGTATTTGGAATAGAAAGCATTGTTTATAACAATTTGCACCTGTGAGGTGATCATTTGTAAATAAAAACACGTGGCATTGGAGGTGGCGCAATCTTTTGGGCCAATGGTGTTTAAGCAAAATTTGCCTTTGTGGCACAGAGTAAATAAAGATGATGAATTCTACAAAAAATTTCAAACTACCCCTACTTGAATTAAAAAAGACATCATAAGAATATGTAAATTATATCTGGCGATAGTAAACCATATCAGTTAAGTGTTCAGTTGGTAAACAGACAGAGATATGCTTTGTGCTATACGACGTGACATTGTGGAGTCTTACAACATCTTTTTCGTATTGTATTTTATTTAAGGCAAAAAAAAAAAAAAAAAAAAAAAAAAAAAAAAAAAAAAAAAAAAAAAAAAAAAAAAAAAATCTGGCTACGTGTATGCACAAAATAGAATAATATTAAATCCTTCAATGTCTCTCACCGTCTATTGATCTGCAGGTCCATAGAAAAGAATTGGCCTGTAGCTTTGGTCGAAATAATAATTAGGAAAACAATTGAAAAAGAACTCTTCCAAACTAATGACGCCATTTTTATCACGGTCAGTTTTTTTGAAGTGAAATTCTGGGAGCACTGTGTGGTGGAATATTCTTATAAAGTTAAAAAATTCATCAGCGGACATTTCATTGTCGCAGTTTACATCAAGGATGTTGAACCAGGCGGTGCAGTAATCAAACAGAACATCATACAGCGTTTTATTTTGCTGGACAGTTTGGATTACCTGAAGCCACATTGTTAAATTCATCCCATGCGTCAGGTTTGATTTAGTGCCAAGAACCCAAGACTGCCATTCCAAGTTCATTAACCCAAAGAGTGCCTTAGCCCTCCACGAGGGAAGAAATAGAGCGCCCCTATCCGATATCAAATCAACGAACTCCACCTTGTCCACCAATCCATCAATGTTGACGTCCAGCTTTTTGAACCAGGCTTTAAACTTCCAAATCGCAGCAAAATCATCCTAGAAGAACTATATGCTTTTAGAAAATGTTATGATAAAAAAAAGACCAATGGTTTGATATTATTAATATATATTTAACATCTTGACTAATTAACTTCCACATTGTGCTGCTTGTTATCCACTAGATCATTAAATATACATTGAAATATCAAATATGCATGTGTAAGGGAAGTTTTTCCATTTGTGAGTTATTCTTATATCTTATGCGGACTCTAGTCATACATACATGTACATTGTATATGCATGCATATAGTACATTTTAAATCTTGTTAGAAAGAAAGGACACATAAGAAAGTTGTAACTTACCTCTTGGCCATCAGATCTGACAATATCAGTTTCACAGGAGGCAAAGAGTAAAATGGGTAACAGAGGAATGAGCAGATACATGATAACCACTCCGATCTGGAAAAAGTATGATAGTTAAACTAAATGTCGTTACAGATGTATTTTTCAAATTAATCAGTGGTTCAATATAGATAATCCTGATATCAATAGTGACAGAAAGAAACGCCAAATTACCTCGAACATGTATATTTATCAACAGACTGCTTTATTGTTTTATCCTTAAATTCTTCTCTTCTGTATGTGCTTTCTATATGCCTTGCTTACTTTAGTAATGACGACAGTCTATCATGCAAAAACAGTTTCTTCCTAAAGTAACGCAACACTCACTCACCTCAGCTGTTCCTGCTCTCACGCGGATCGAGGATATAACTAACTTAAGATAAAGAGAATTGGGTGACTCCCGATCACGTGGTCATAGAAACAAACCCAGTATGTTGCAATTTAAAATTCATAATCAGAAACAAATAACCCCAATGCATTTTTGTCAATTCAAAAATATGTAATGAAAATTAGAAAAAAAATCAATAGGAACTTGTAACATATTTAGAAACATGTCATTTGAAAGATTTAGACCTAAAGTTGATTGCAATCCACATTTCAGATAAATTACATTACTGAAATAATTGAAAAAGGACTATTTCAATGGGATGTTTAGGAACATGTCCTACCTTTGTTTTGTTTACCGTGTAATCTGATGTAGAGCATGAGACACTTTCATAATTGCCTTGTATGCTGACATTGAGGACATTGGTTAAAAGCACTACACGATAGATCTACCAATGATGTGGGAACATACTAATTTGCACGAATATGCACTTCTGCCACCTGCCAAAAAGTCACTAATGGTAGATTTCATTTACATAATTTACGAAAGGAAGAATGTATTTCTTTTTCATTTGTGATATAATTTCAATTTCTTCAAGCAGGATACCCCTCCTGTCAATTTCCGTTAAAGGAAATGTGTTACCCTTGCTGAAGGCATGTTGTGCCGCCTACAGGAGATAATTGCAGTACGCGGTAGACACATCATTATGCTAATTGTGTGTAAATGTGGTTACATTTGATGGTGTCTTTTTAATTTAATGAGCTTGTCTTTACCTCTGTGGAAATCATAGTGACATATTGCATTTGAGGGGTTCCGTGCTATAAAGTTGAATAAAGGTATAAAATATGTACCGGTATATCTTCACTGCTATTCTGTCTTTTCTGTGCTATTAATCATGTACTGTATGGCACATTAAATAAAAGACACATTGTGTAGACACAATTGCACCTATGAGATGATTACTTGTAATAAAGCACGTGAAATTGGAGGTGGGCCAACCCTTTTGACTAATGATGTGTGCTTATATATGTAGAATGTGTCTGGCGATAGTAAACCATAGGCATTAAGTGTTCAGTTAGTAAACACACAAAGTGTTCATACATTTGTTTTGCGCAACATAGCAAAACACGTGGCATCGTATTTAATTCAAGCCAAAAATCCGTTTATACATCAAAGTAGAAAGATAGGAAAGAAATTGGGTTCCTCTATTCGGCTAATTTTCAGCAGAACCATAGAAAAGGGCAGACTGGTTGGCTTTTTGGTCGTAATAAAAATGAAAACAACCAAATAAGAATTCTTCCAAACTAATGACACCATTTTTATCACGATCAGTGTCATGGAGGGGTACTTCTGATGGCAACGTGTTCCGAAATATTGATATAAAGTTGAAATACTCATCGGTGGACATTTCATTGTTGCAATCAGCGTCTAAGATTTGGAACCAATCAGTACAATATTCCGGTCCTTGTACATTAACAGTGTTATTACGAATGTTTCTTTGGTATGCCTCCCAAAACATTTTGAAATTTATCACTTGGTCCATGTCAGTAACCCAAAACAAAAAACTCCAGCTCATCAGTCCAAACACTGCCTTAGCCCTCCACGAGGAAAGCACGCGACGGCTTCTCTCTGCTGTCAAATCAACGAATTCCATTTTGCCTACCATCCCATCATTGTTGGCGTCGAAAATAGTGAACCAAGCTTTAAATTTCCGAAATGCAGTCAATTCACCCTGGATCAAAAATAGAAAATAAGATGTTATCAATATATTTAAAGGGTACTGCAAGGGTTTGTTATCGTTTAGATACCGAAAATAAGGTTTCCCCTGCACTTTATAATTTAATAATGCGTCCAACTTTGTGCTGATTTAAAACAATAAAAAATCCCCTTGAAATGTATGAAATATCGATGTTTTTTCATTGCTATATATAAGCACTCAAAGCTTTTATCGTTAATTCAACACCTTTCTTTTTTAGGTGAGATAGAAATCATATCAGTGAACAAGATTTTATCACAAAAATTGGCATGGTTGATTAAAAGTGTATGGGCTTCAATCCCTTGTCGCCATTTTGGTTTAAATGTTTTTGCATCGGTGTCATATATGCCCCTATTTAGTTTTTCATTTAACAAAAGCATCAATTTGCTTTGCCAACGATAAAATTGGAAGACTTTAAGAAAAATCACTGCCGGGTTTTGGAGTACTAATTGGTTTCATTAAATTGACGTTAACACGCCGTTCATGGGTGAGCGGGCAAAGGAGAAATTGAGAAACCGTTTTTTTTTTCACAATTTTCACACCAAAATCGCAATTATGACGTCCCCCATTAGATGACATGTGTAAATGTTTATTAATTTAATCAGTAAACGCTTACAGTATTCTTTTGTTGCTGACAAAGTAACTCTTTCCACACTGTGAAGCTTGTTACCTGTATATACTGGATTATCAAACGTATATTAAAATATTAAATAGCCATGTATAAGGAGGGTTCAATTATGATTTATTCTTATATCTTATGTGAAGTTTACTCATAAATACGCTTACACTGTAGTGCATTTAAGTTTTGTTAGAAGGAAGGGACATATAAAAAAGTTGTAACTAACCTCTTTGCCATGAGATATGACACTAGTGGTATCACAGGAGGCAAAAAGAACAATGGGCATCAGAAGAATAAACAGATACATGATAACGCTTCCAATCTGAAATAAATATAATAGTAAAACTAGCTGCTACGTATCATGTTAATGATGATTCAAATTGAGTGTCCTGATATCCATAGTGAAAGGAAGAAACACCAAATCACCTCGAAAATGTATATTAATCAACAAACTGTTTTAGTCTTAAGTTCTAATCTTCTGAAAGTGCTTCTTGTTCTATGGGGTAAATTACTTTACCTACCACAACAGCCTTTTCTACTGTACATCATGCAAAAACAGTTATTTCCTAAAATAACGCAATACTCACTGTCCTCAGCTGTTCTGGCTTTCACGCGGATCGAGGATATAGCTTACTTTAAATAAAGAAAATTGGGTGACACCATATTACGTGGTCTTAGAAACAAATGCGGGCATGACGCAAGCAACGATATAAATCCAGTATTAAAGAAGGATAGTTGAGATCAATATCGATTTCTAAGATGCGATATTTTATTTATAGGGCTTTTGATTTGACATTTTGTATGTAGCTTGTTTACTTGTTTTTGATACTCATCTCTCATGTAGTAGTCTAAAAAAACAAAATCACAGTAAATAAAGAGAAAATGACGATCAAAGTAAAATAGATATGTAATTGAATATTAATGAAAACGACTATAATTGATTGTTTGCTTCACTATTAGAAATGAATATCATCAATGGATTTTGTCAAAGGTAATGTATACAGTAACACAGGAAATATATAGGTTAAAAATAACAGGTTTATATTTTATATTTAGAAACATGAATCATGGAAAAATATCAATTTAAAAATGATAACAACTTTCTAACAGAAAAATGTCAATGCTGAAATGTTTTACAAAAAATTTTTTTTGCAATCAAATTAATCATGTAAAGGAGACGTTCTTTCCTTTGTTGTATTTACCATGAAATCTGATCTAGAACAAGAGGGGTTTTTCATTGATTTCCATGTAATTGAAAAATGAGGAACTGATTAAAATTACTAAAGGATTTATTTACCAATGATTTGGGAATAAATTAATTTACAGGGGTATAAACTTCTGCTGCGTGCCCAAAAGCCACCAATTTTAGATCAAAATTTCATAATTAACGAAAGGAAGAAGATATTTATTTTTCATTTCTGATATACTCACACTTTCTTCAAGCAAGTTTTCATGATTATACGTTATGTTTTGTGCTATACGACGTGGCATTTTGGAGTCTTTTTCACATTGTACTTTATTTAAGGCAAAAAATATCTGGCTACATGTTTGCTTAAAATAGAAGAATATTAAATCCTTCAATGCCTCTCATCGTTTATTGATCTGCAGGTCCATAGAAAATCATTGGCCGATAGCTTTCGTCGAAATAATAATTAGTAAAACAATTGAAAAAGAACTCTTCCCAACTAATTGACGCCATTTTTTAATCGCGGTCATTGTTGTTGAAGTGAAATTTTGGGAACAGCTTATAAAGTTGAAAAACTCATCAGCGGACATTACATTGTCGCAGTTAGCGTCAAGGTTGTTGAACCAGTCAGTACAGATATCAAACAGCACGGCATTCAGCGTTTTATTTTGCTGGACAATTTGGATTACCTGAATCCACATTGATATTGATAATTTCTAATTTTCTATTTTCCGGGTAATTGTCTATTTTTCCGGGTAATTGTCATTTTAAATTCACAATCAGACTAACTAACCCCAATTAATTTTTTTGTGAACTCCAATGTATGTTATGACAATTATGACATTTCAAGGGGATTTTTTATTGTTTTAAATCAGCACAAAGTTAGACGCATTATAAAAAAAATAAAGTGCAGGGAAAACCTTATTTTCGGTATCTAAATGATAAAAAACCCTTGCAGTACCCTTTAAATATATTGATAATTTCTAATTTTCTATTTTCCGGGTAATTGTCTATTTTTCCAGGTAATTGTCATTACCCCATAGAACAAGAAGCACTTTCAGAAGATTAGAACTTAAGACTAAAACAGTTTGTTGATTAATATACATTTTCGAGGTGATTTGGTATTTCTTCCTTTCACTATTGATATCAGGATACTCAATTTGAATCATCATTAACATGATACGTAGCAGCTAGTTTTACTATTATATTTATTTCAGATTGGAAGCGTTATCATGTATCTGTTTATTCTTCTGATGCCCATTGTTCTTTTTGCCTCCTGTGATACCACTAGTGTCATATCTCATGGCAAAGAGGTTAGTTACAACTTTTTTATATGTCCCTTCCTTCTAACAAAACTTAAATGCACTACAGTGTAAGCGTATTTATGAGTAAACTTCACATAAGATATAAGAATAAATCATAATTAAACCCTCTTTATACATGGCTATATTTAATATTTTAATATACATTTGATAATCCAGTATATACAGGTAACAAGCTGCACAGTGTGGAAAGAGTTACTTTGTCAGCAACAAAAGAATACTGTGACGTTTATCGTTAGCAAAGCAAAATGATGCTTTTGTTAAATGAAAAACTAAATAGGGGCATATATGTCACCGATGCAAAAACATTTAAACCAAAATGGCGACAAGGGATTGAAGCCCATACACTTTTAATCAACCATGCCAATTTTTGCGATAAAATCTTGTTCACTGATATGATTTCTATCTCACCTAAAAAAGAAAGGTGTTGAATTAACGATAAAAGCTTTGAGTGCTTATATATAACAATGAAAAAAAAACACCGATATTTCATACATTTCAAGGGGATTTTTTATTGTTTTAAATCAGCACAAAGTTAGACGCATTATAAAATAATAAAGTGCAGGGAAAACCTTATTTTCGGTATCTAAATGATAAAAAACCCTTGCAGTACCCTTTAAATATATTGATAATTTCTAATTTTCTATTTTCCGGGTAATTGTCTATTTTTCCGGGTAATTGTCATTTTAAATTCACAATCAGACTAACTAACCCCAATTAATTTTTTTGTGAACTCCAATGTATGTTATGACAATTTCAAAAAAAAAAAAAATAATAAAATAATAATAATAAAAAAATTAAAAAAAAATACGGTTTGCCTAATAGGGAAATATAGAAAGATTTATTGACAAATAAGAAAAGAAAATCCCGTGAAAGCGTGGTCAATGCTGAAAAATACAGAGAGAAAAATATGTTTTAAATCAGTATGAAAAAAAATGGAGATGATTAAACGGTTGAGAGCTCCAAGTCGTAGTCCTCGTCACTGTAAAAGTATGTTTCTCTCTGTCCATATGAGAATCAAGATAAAGCTAGAAAGGTTTCAGGTCCATCCATAGAATTAAACTGCGTCACGAATATGGAATCCCTTTTGTCATAATTTGTCATCCCATTAGTTTTATCTTGTTGTTGCATGCGAAACATATCGACAAAGATACGCATGTGTTTACGAATGATAATACTAGGGAAGGTCCGGTGTGCAATTAACCAAAGTCTGAATCACAAAGGCAATTCGGTTATCAGTCAGTCGTGACATGGAAGTGACACTACGGTCATTGCTTAAACTAATTAGACAACTACGTAAATCCAGTCCTCTACAGGTACATTAGAAACGAGTCAGAGGTATAAACGACTGAGTGGTGAATTATTGTATTCTTACCCTGCATGGATTGTTAGTGTGCCTATTTTATTTCTTTTCAGACATTTAGAAAATTAAGCGCGCATGAATGTATATATTCATTTACATGGCTAGGTCATTTATGATCTGAAAAGGGAGATACAGACCATTTTGTACTTTATAGCGTATGTAATGTCCCACGTTGATTGCAAAAGCACCCCAGAGGCAGAGGTAGCAATAAAAGAAATCCCTAACATCGGTATTGCAACTCTTCCATTCATACTCCACACGCCTGCAGTAATCGTGAGAAAACACAATGGGTTTTCATTTTATACACCAGCAGCGGAAAATGATTACTTAAAAAATCCCTGTTCCTTTGCAGTTATCTGTATGGACACTAGTCAAACTCTGGTTCAGATATGAAAACATGACACATGAAAGGCCACCATAGTGATTTAACTGTTAGAATCTGGAACTTTAGCTGAAACCCACCTGAGACGGATTGGACACTAAAATCTCATAACTATAAGTGGTCTCCCCATCGTTTGTATCAGACACTAGTAATTGATTAGAGTCCGACGTACAATATTTATGGAAAATTAGGCGGACAATATGACCGGATTGCATTCAAGGCATTGGATCTATCACCCAGGCACTGGTTATAAATCTTCCCTTTAAATAATGTAGAAACCGACCACACATGCTCTCATTTAAAATGTCCAGTGGTGGTGGAGGGGTGGGGGTGGGGGGGGAAGAGGGCGTCCTCGTTTTAGTAAATCGAAGCTAACATTATTTGGTACATGACAGACGAGTCGTGCGTATTTTCCAATAGATATACGTCATCAGGACTGTAGCGCTTTACTATGATTGACCCTTTGTCGTGGGTATCCGTGTTCTGTGACGTCACGCCTCTGATTTGTCTTCCCAAATGGCCATAGCATGTTATTTCGTTGACGGCCAGCGGTCTGGGATGAACCTCACAAATCGCACAGATTTACCAGAACACGCAGAACTGCAGTATGTGAACATAGTGTTTAGGTCGATACTAACCCTGTGTATTTGTTTCGGTAATATCATGGTCATAGCTGCCATACAGCGATCACCAGCTCTGAAGAATGTTCCCAATCACTTCATCATGCATCTGGCCATTGCCGACCTCTCTGTTGGTGTGACCATGCCGTTCTATATTGCCTCCACAGCCCAGCCTGCACTCGTGACGAACATATACCTGTGCATTCTGAGGTACGTGTAATTAAGTCTACAGTTTTAACGTAAAGGATAATAGGGGCCTACATGTGCCAAGATTGCCGTCTGTTTAAATGCTTTTAAAGTAACTTTTTTCGGATGCCGTGTAAATTTGTCAGAAAATGACAAGTTAATAACCAATAAGCGTTGCGTAATTTGTCATGTAAAGAAAAGACGGGATATTGGAGAAAGAGCCAAAACAGGAAATCTGGTTCTAGGACATTTAACACAAACGCTCTCTCGCTTAAAATTAATAACGTACTCAAAAAGATGTTATTTCAGATAGGTGAGACAAATACATTATTTTGCCCATCAGTGTTTATAACAATTTCACGATCCAAATCATTTAAAGGTAATTTTTTCGAATGGCGTGCACTTTTGTAATAAAATGTGAAAACATTTAATAAGTTGCTGTAGTACGTTGCCTCATACAAATAAGACAATATTGAGAACCTTTGGGCTATGCTAAATTAAGAACTCAATTTAGGAGACTCTTCACACAATTACGTGCATGTACCCTCCCCCCACCACCACCACCCCCGAATTTCACTCACCTAATACGGGCCATTGATTTGGCACCAAATAGCGTTGGGACGGTTCCACTATGGATTCCCGTTAGTTTGGGCTAGTGCGTAGACAGTAATTTGATCTCAGTTGGATTTGAGGACAGTCCTTATTGGACCTAAATGGAACCAATTATCATTCCCCGTCATGTTTCAAGCTGGGAGTGACGGTTGGGACAGTTTGACAACTCGACTGCCAAATTATAGGTAGGCCTACTGTACGAGACTACCAAACAGCTCTTCTATAGTGGCTTGGCAGACTAACTGTTACCCTGAAGACAGAGATGTCGCTGAAATGTAGTAGATGGCAGACAGTGAAATTAGGCCTACTAAATTGGCATTTTCCACTATATGCACGTTTTAGTAAAGAGCGCATGAATAATCAATTTGAATATTTATTAGGTTAGTCAATCATATACGCCCATTGACCTGCATCCCGAACTCTAGAAGGTTTATCTCACAATCTACCATATCATTATTTCTGACATATTATTTCATGCTGCTTCCAAATAAAATTTTAATTAAAAAAAATATCAAAAGGCTTTATTAATCAAGATAAACAATTTCTCAAATCACATACTTTATTACATATTTTCTTATCCAAGTTTTTATTATACTGCTAACAATGCAAAACAGAAATAAATATAGACTAGTAAACTGAGCGAAAAAATGGCCTAACCCAGGACTAATTGCAAAAAAATTGTAATGATGTTTTTTAGAAAGCTAAATATCCAAATTTTAACATATTAAAAATATATGCATAAACGTTTCTGAAATAAACCTAAGTTCAACGTCGAAATTGAGCCGGTCTGCCCACCGGTATTTCTATTTTAATATAAAAAAAGAAGCCTGGTGCCCACTTTAAACGTCCCAAAGATAATACCATGCTCTCATTCAGCTTTTTTAAAATCTTTTATTCATTTGTAGGTACTGTGGCATAGGAGTAACAGCCATGGCATCAGTTCTGTGTTTACTCTCCATAGCAGTTGACCGGTACACCGCCATCGTCTACCCGTTACGCTACAACGCCATCATGACGCTATCACGTGCACGCCGTCTGACTGTTGTCATATGGGTAATGTCCTTTGTCCTTTATCTCGTTATTCCATGCCTGTGGCACAACGAATGGACGGACATCCCAGACAGAGATTGCTTGTACGTCAAAGTTATGAAACGGGAATATCTAGGAGGCGTCAATAACCCGATGTTCGTGCTGGCCACCGTCTTCATCATGTGTCTGTATGGCAGAATATTCTACATTGCGCACAAACGGGGAAAAGAGGATCCTATAGGTCAATTTGTGCCCAGGAACTCGTTGGAAGTCGATTTGAAAATTGCCAAAATGGCTGCCATCGTTTTGGGTATTTTTGTGCTCTGTTGGTTTCCGTTTGTTGCAATGGTCGGTATTCAGGTCTATGGTGATCTCGTGTACTCAGAACAAATGAATGAGGCCAATAGCTACGTTACTAACCTGCTGTTTGTCAACTCTGCCGTTAATCCTGTGGTTTATGCATTTCGGTCGGAAACTTTCATGACAGAATTCAGAAAACTATTACACATAAAGGCAAAACCTCAATCCAATGTTCAGGCACCGGCGCCTGTAATATTTTCAACTATGAATACAACAGATACAGCGCTGTAAGACATCCAATATGCGGTATCTTTATTTCGAATATAGTTAAAGTCAGTTCGCTAATTACAAATATTTATAAATACATTTGTATATATCGTTACATATTGTAAAGTACATTGACATTTTTCTCTTTAGTCAAGAGCACCGATTGTGAGAGCTAAACTGTACATGACAGTTGCAATAGCCTATCGGCATGCACATACCTAAGACCCCATTTCCAGACATTAGATCGATCTACTTTAGATCGACCTAACTCCCTGGGGGTTCCCTTACAGCTTGCAGTAGGCGGGACGGACATTTAAGCCGGATTATCTGACAGTAATCTAGTGAGACTCCCCGCGGGGATAGATCGATCTAAAAGCTCTGGGAATACAGCCTAAGATTAATGACATTTTAATGTAGTCTTATTGTCCAATGCGTCGTGTCCATTAATGTTTACATGAGCGTTAATCTTAATCTGTCATTTGCCGTCGCTGTCTCTCTAAAACTGGTCACGGACACTCACTTTATAGTCTAAGAAGGCCTGTCCAAGGCATGATAGGGTATAAAGAACAATGGGTGAAAGTTAACGGAGAGATAGTAAGATAGTTATGTACTTTTAGTGCTTTTAAGGAGTCTACTTGAATAATCACTGGTAGCAACCCGTTGTATTTATTCCATATTTTCATACGACCCAGTAGTTTCAACATTAATTGTAATTTATCACTGTACGAGTTGTGGAATAAAGAAAACACGACAAAAATCGGTTTCGTCACAAGCTTGAAAAGTGTCAAATAAACTTGAGGGCGTGAAACCAAATAGTGGCAGCATTTACCTTTATCTTCTTATCTCAACTACCGTTTGTCACAGAAAAAGCTAAACTTACTTTTTCATTGCCCAAATGATTCGATTATAGTAGGTATGGCAGCCCACATGCCTGTCAACATTGGGGTTCGGCATTGTTTGACATTCACGGTCAATTTTGGGAAATGTAAGTCATTACAAAGATAACTCATGGGACTTGACTTCCATGTGCGATTAATGTTCAGAACATCACATCAATTATTATTTTTTTTTTATTTTAACGAACACATCTATCTCCACATAATTGTGGATAAATGGTTTTCCGGAAGGCGTTGCAATAATAAATGTGATCGTAAAATGTTAGCAAAGTTATATATAGATTTAAAAAAAAAATTTTAAAAGCAGACCAAATAGCCTGTCACCATTTGGTTCAAGTTGAATCAATAGCATGGCTTGTTAGATAGTAGCTTCTTATTCATTTTGGCCAAATGTTGATCTTACTTCAAATTTTTTGAAAGCTTTTCCTGTTCTTTTAATTCTTCATTATTTTGACTGTAAAGAAATATTAAAGCAAGGTGGACGCAGTGCATTGGAACCCAACAGTCATAAGATATGGGCGGGTATCAGTTGAATCGTACGACATGGATACGGCGCGTGAAACTTTAACTCCACAGTTAATGTGCGTTTATTAAGCAAGGGTGGTATCTCCAGGATGATGTAAGGTTCATCAAGAAGGTCCAAGCAACTGAAAGTAAATTAAGTAATTTCAATTTCACAAATTGCTATTTTCGTCATTAAATAGTTCGTAAACATACCATTTGTATACCATGTATAATATCTGAACGCAACACCAGATTGCAAAATCGAGACATTTGCGGCAAATATTTGAAATAATTTTATTCACTGTCCGGTTTCAAACTGACCCTTAAATGATTACACAGAATAATACCGAGTTGATATAGATTACAAGTCAGCATAAATGCAATAAGTTCAACTAACGATTCAAGGTTTCCATTTACTCAAATGACTCATGTTGCATGACCATGATACAAGGATGTATGGAACTAAATTCGGAGTTAATGATTTACATATGCAGTAGTACAAACGTTTTCAGTACCACAAATTAATTACAGAACCGATTTCTATTCTACATACATAATTATAAATTGAGCAATTCTTTTAATACACACCATTTGAAAAAAAAAAAAAAAAAAAACCATTCATAATAAACCAAACAATAAATTTGCATAGTTAAAATTGTCAAACGATTTATAATTGTTTTTACTCTAGTCTTCTGTCTGCAAAATTTTATTGCTGCATGTTAAAAATTTTGATTTTCCACTTATAAGACTTCACTGACTATAGCAAATATTTCAAAAGTGTTTTTTGTTTTGTTCAGTATGTTTGCAGTGCCAATATATCAAATTAAAATATATTGGTACTAGAATCTACAAAATCTTCTTTCGCTCAATTCAAACAATAAATAAAACTTTACAAAGCAAAAATAAACAAATAAAAATAAATTCTTGTGACTCACATTATAAGTAGTTTTTATAAGAAATTACAATAATACTTAAATATAATTAAATGCAACAGAGCATCACAGAAGGCAATCAGTAAAGCTTTAACTTACATTATAAATACTACTATCAATCTACAGCAAGAGAGAAAGAGCAAGGGAGGTGTGGGGATCCATAACAAAGACTGAGCTACTTCAAAAAGCAGTCTACAAAGATGTCCCACCACACCTCAGACAGCTAATTTTGTCAATAGAAAATTAATCATGTCTGTCAAAACATTTAAAGTCAAATTAGATTGAACTAAATAACAAATGTGTGCTACATGTAATTTAGTTGATAAACAATTCCTGATCATCACCACCATTTCTCATACATTATCTTATTTTTCGGCACTCCTGAATTCAGCAGAAATCCCTCCACGGCATTAGACATAGTGGAGGGTCCACAAATATAGCACAGTAGTTTCTCCGTGTTCAGTTTTTCTAAAGCCTCTGTAACATCATCCTCTCCTATTCTGCCATCTGAATAAAAATAATAATAATTACATGAAAACTGCATATCAATAAATTAAACTGTTACCAATTTGTTGACAAAGAAGTGTACAACATATTCTAATAACAGTAGCAATTTTTTACTGATAATTGTCTTAATTTTAACAAAAAGAGAGAGAGAGAATGATCTTAGGAGGCTTAAGTTGCCGAGGCTTAAATGAACTTCTAGACACATACTCCTCATGTGCGTGCTTTCTTTATTTTCTGGTTGCTGGGTGACGAAGAACTTGTAGAAAATTTTGGAACTTTTGTCCGCCAATTCTTTGATGTGATCCTGAAAATGTATGCGTTGTTTTCATCGCTTGTTATAACTGTGCCCTGCTTGAGGTCAATTCTTTTCTTTTAACCAAAAATTACAATAACGAACATGCATGTCTTAAATTCTTAATCTATCCATATATTTTCATTTGTCAATATCAAGTTTAGCCTCATTTTACCTTAAATTTTTCATGTATTCATGAGCACATACACACACACATGAACATACACACACGTACATACACGTGTACACACACACACACACACACACACATACACACAAGTGAACACACACACACACACACACATGAACATACACACATGTACATACACGTGTACACACACACACACACACACATACACACAAGTGAACACACACACACACACATGAACATACACACACACACATACACACAAGTGAACATACACACACACACACACACACACACACACAGCCAAACCATACCCTATAGAGCAATTCCTCCCTGGCTGAAGAAGAATACAGCAGCACCACCTTCCTCTCTCTATCACAATATTCCAGCTGTAAGTTCACAAAATGCTGCAGTATGGAATAAATGGGGTTCTTGCCCACGCCCCCAGCAACCAATAACAGGTCTGTTTGCTCCTCCGCTGTCTGGGGGTCGTAATAAAAGTCACCGCCTGCTCTCACTGACACCGCATCACCCTCTTTACACTACAATGCAAATAAATTAGAAAAAAGAAAAAGAAAAAAAGGTGAATCAGATTCTGTTTTCATTAATAATTTTAGCATTAGTTTTGGTGATATTGAAACAAATATCTTTAAGCAATTATTATAATTAGAAAAATTACTCTGAAAAAAAAAAAAAATCAAAAATTAACTGTGACAAAGGATTATAAAACACACACACAATCCTGTATTACTTATTTTCAATGTTCAAAAGTTTTTGTCATTGATTTCTATTGTACATACTACAGTAGTCATGGATACTAGTATGCATGTGCATTTTTTATAGTAAGTGATTAAATGATTTAATATGAAATTAAAATTGAAGTATTTAATCCTGTAATAACTATACTGAACAAAAATATAAACACACGAAACTAAAATGGTCAGTTGAAATGGATAATCATGAAATATGCCTAGGTTGGTGGTTTANCAGCGTTGGGACGGTTTCACTATGGATTCCCGTTAGTTTGGGCTAGTGCGTAGACAGTAATTTGATCTCAGTTGGATTTGGGGACAGTCCTTATTGGACCTAAATGGAACCAATTATCATTCCCCGTCATGTTTCAAGCTGGGAGTGACGGTTGGGACAGTTTGACAACTCGACTGCCAAATTATAGGTAGGCCTACTGTACGAGACTACCAAACAGCTCTTCTATAGTGGCTTGGCAGACTAACTGTTACCCTGAAGACAGAGATGTCGCTGAAATGTAGTAGATGGCAGACAGTGAAATTAGGCCTACTAAATTGGCATTTTCCACTATATGCACGTTTTAGTAAAGAGCGCGTGAATAATCAATTTGAATATTTATTAGGTTAGTCAATCATATACGCCCATTGACCTGCATCCCGAACTCTAAAAGGTTTATCTCACAATCTACCATATCATTATTTCTGACATATTATTTAATGCTGCTTCCAAATAAAATTTTAATTAAAAAAATATCAAAAGGCTTTATTAATCAAGATAAACAATTTCTCAAATCCCACGACATACTTTATTACATATTTTCTTATCCAAGTTTTTATTATACTGATAACAATGCAAAACATAAATAAATATATGCATAAACGTTTCTGAAATAAACCTAAGTTCAACGTCGAAATTGAGCCGGTCTGCCCATCGTCGTCTACCGGTATTTCTATTTTAATATAAAAAAAAAGAAGCCTGGTGCCCACTTTAAACGTCCCAAAGATATATAATACCATGCTCTCATTCAGCTTTTTTTAAATCTTTTATTCATTTGTAGGTACTGTGGCATAGGAGTAACAGCCATGGCATCAGTTCTGTGTTTACTCTCCATAGCAGTTGACCGGTACACCGCCATCGTCTACCCGTTACGCTACAACGCCATCATGACGCTATCACGTGCACGCCGTCTGACTGTTATCATATGGGTGATGTCCCTTGTCCTTTATCTCGTTATTCCATGCCTGTGGCACAACGAATGGGAGGACATCCCAGACAGAGATTGCTTGTACGTCAAAGTTATGAAACGGGAATATCTAGGAGGCGTCAATAACCCGATGTTCGTGCTGGCCACCATCTTCATCATGTGCCTGTATGGCAGAATATTCTACATTGCGCACAAACGGGGAAAGGAGGATCCTATTGGTCAATTTGTGCCCAGGAACTCGTTGGAAGTCGATTTGAAAATTGCCAAAATGGCCGCCATCGTTTTGGGCATTTTTGTGTTCTGTTGGTTTCCTTTTGTTGCAATAGTCAGTATTCAGGTCTATGGTGATCTTGTGTACTCAGAACCAATGAATGAGGCCAATAGCTACGTTACTAACCTGCTGTTTGTCAACTCCGCTGTTAATCCTGTGGTTTATGCATTTCGGTCGGAAACTTTCATGACAGAATTCAGAAAACTATTACACATAAAAGAAAAACCTCAAACCAATGTTCAGGCACCGGCGCCAGTCATATTTTCAACTATGAATACAACAGATACAGCGTTGTAACTTGTAAGACATCCAATAGGCCCTATGCGGTACCTTTATTTCGAATATAGTAAAAGTCAGTTCGTTAATTACAAATATTGATAAACAGATGTGTATATATTGCTGCGTATTGTAATATATAGACATTTTCTGGTTAGTCAAGAGCGCCGATTGAGAGAGCCAAACTGTACTTGACAGTTGCCTGTCGGCATGCGCCTACCTAAGATTAATGACATTTTAATGTAGTCTTATTGTCCAATTCGTCGTGTCCATTAATGTTTACATGAGTGTTAATGTAAACCTGTCATTTGCCGTCGCTGTCTCTATAGAACTGGTCACGGACACTCACTTTATAGTCTAAGAATTAAGGCCTGCCCTAGGCAATGAAAGCTAGCGGAGACATAATAAGATAGTAATATACATTCAGTGCTTTTAAGGAGTCTATTTGAATGATCACTGGTAGCAATTAACCCATTGTATTCATCCACATTATCAAAAGATCCAGTAGTATCAACATTTATTGTAATCTATCATTGTACGAGTTGTTGAATAAACAAAACGTAAAAAAAAAAAAAAAAAAAAAAAAACCGTTTCGTCACAAGCTTGAAATGTGTCAAATAAACTTCAGGGCGTGAAACCAAATAGTGGCAGCATTTATCTTTATATTCTTATCTTAACTACCGTATAATTGTCAAAGAAAAAGCTAAAGTTACTTTCTCATTGCCCGTGGATATAGTAGGTATAGCAGCCCACATGCCTGTCAACATTGGAGTTCGGCATTGTTTGACAATCACGGTCAATTTTGGGAAATGTGAAATGTAAGTCATTAAAAAGATATCTCATAGGACTTGACTGCCAAGTGCGACTACTGTTCAGAATATCCCATCAAATTTTTTTAATTTAAACGAAAACGTCTATCTCCACCTAAGAAATTGTGGTGAAATGGTCTTCCGGAAGGCGTTGAAATAACAAATGCCATGTAGAATGTTAGCACAGTTATATCGAAGATTAAAAAATTTAATAGTTAAAAAAGAAAAAAAAAAACACCATTTTTTAACGCAGACCAAATAGCCTGTCGCCATTTGGTTCAAGTTGAATCAATAGCATGGCTTGTTAGATTGCAGCTCCTTGTTGTTCATTTTGGCCAAATATTGATCTTACTTTAAAATTTTTGAAAGCTTTTCTTGTTCTTTTAATTCTTCGTTATTTTGACTGTAAAGAAATATTAAAGCGAGGTTGACGCAGTGCATTGGGGTGTTCAGGGGTGTTCAGGCTCCTGGCTTCACATCCAGTGTTAGTCAATAAGGGCGAAAGGTGAAATTAAGTAGCTTGCCGGTGACCCGTAGATTACTCAAGTCAAGCTCTCCTCCCCGCGGTACACCCTGGAAACTAGGTCCTAGCGGGCCCAGGCTAACGAGGCTCTGGCTAAAGGAAGGAAACCCCTGATATAAAACCTACCGCGGGGGGCCACCAACCCTCCCGGTTCAAATAAATGTTACAGAAACCACAGAAACTTCTACTGGCCTAGTACGTAGCCAGAGATAGGGCCAAATGGAAAGAAGTGACTGTTATGTCCCCCACGGGACGAAGAGGAATGATGATGATGATGATGATGACGCAGTGCATTGGAACCCAGCTGTCATAAGATATGGACTCCGGATATCAGTTGAATCCTACGATATGGATTCCGCGCGTGAAACATTAAATCCACAGTTAATGTGCGTTTATTAAGCAAGGTAAAAGTAGTGTCAAGAAGTTCCAAGCAACTTAAAGTAAATTAAGTAATTTCAATTTCACAAAATGATTTTTTCGGCATTTAACAGTTCGTAAATGATTTTTTCGGCATTTAACAGTTCGTAAATATACCATTTGTATACTATGTATAATATCTGAATATCTGAACGCGACACCAGACTGCTTAATCAAGACATCTGCTGCAAATATTTGAAATAATTTTATTCACTGTCCGTTTTCAAACTGACCCTTAAATGATACAATTACACAGAATAATACCGAGTTGATATAGATTACAAGTCAGCATAAATGCAATAAGTACAACTAAGGTTTCCATTTACTCAAATGACTCTTGTAGCATGTACCATGATACAAGGATGTATGGAGCTAAATTAGGAGATACAGTAAATGATTTACATATGCAGTAGTACGAACATTTCAGTACCAGAATTAATTATAGAACCAATTTCTATTCTAAGTACACGGTTATATACTGAGCAATTTTTTAAATATACACCATTAAAAACATTTTCATAATAAACCAAACAATACATTTGCATAGTTGAAATTCCCAAACAATTAGGAATTGTTTTACCTTCATATTTTTCACTACAAAATTTTACTGCTGCATGTTAAATTTTTTATTTTCCACTAATAAGACTCCATTGTCTATAGAAAATATTTGGCAAGTGTTTTTTGTTATGTTTGGTATGTCTGCAGTGCCAACATACCAAATTAAAACATATTGGTACTAGAATCTACAAAATTTTCTTCCGCTCAATTCAAACAATAAATAAAACTTTACAAGGCAAAAATAAACAAATAAAAATAAATTGTCTTACATTATAAGTATTTTTTTTAAAAAAATTACAATAATATTTTAACATAATTAAATGCAACAGAGCATCAGAGAAGGCAATCAGTAAAGCTTTAACTTACTTTATAAATATTACTATCAATCTACAGCAAGAGAGAAAGAGCAGGGGAGGTGTGGGGATCCATAACAAAGACTGAGCTACTTCAAAAAGCAGTCTACAAAGATGTCCCACCACACCTCAGACAGCTAATTTTGTCAATAGAAAATTAATCATGTCTGTCAAAACATTTAAAGTTAAATTACATTGAACTAAACAACAAATGTGTGCTAATTCAGTTGATAAACAATCCCTGATCATCACCACCATTTCTCATACATTATCTTATTTTTTGGAACTCCTGAATTCAGCAGAAATCCCTCCACGGCGTTAGACATAGTGGAGGGTCCACAAATATAGCACAGTAGTTTCTCTGTGTTCAGTTTTTCTAAAGCCTCTGTAACATCATCCTCTCCTATTCTGCCATCTGAATAAAAAAAAATAATTACATGAAAACTGCATATCAATTTTAACTGTTACCAATTTGTTGACAAAGAAGTGTTCAACATAGTCTAATAACAGTAGCAATTTTTTACTGACAATCGTCTTAATTTAAACAAAGATGAGAGATAAAGAATGATCTTAGGAGGCTTAAGTTGCCGAGGCTTAAATGAACTTATAGACACATACTCCTCATGTGCGTGCTTTCTTTATTTTCCGGTTGCTGGGTGACGAAGAACTTGTAGAAAATGTTGGAACTTTTGTCTGCCAATTCTTTGATGTGATCCTGAAAATGTATGAGTTGTTTTCATCGCTTGTTATAACTGTGCCCTGCTTGAGGTTTATTCTTTTCGTTTACCCAAAAATTACAATAATTAACATGCATGTCTTAAATTCTTAATCTATCCATATATTTTCATTTTTCAATATCAATTTTAGCCTCATTTTACATTAAATTTATCATGTATTCATGAGCACATACACACACACATGAACATACACACACACGTACATACACATATGTACACACACACACACACACACACACACACACACACACACACACGAACATACTCACACATGTACACACACACACACACACACACACACACACACACACACAGACAAACCATACCCTATAGAGCAATTCCTCCCTGGCTGAGGAAGAATACAGCAGTACCACCTTCCTCTCTCTATCACAATATTCCAGCTGTAAGTTGACAAAATGCTGCAGTATGGAATAAATGGGGTTCTTGCCCACGCCCCCAGCAACCAATAACAGGTCTGTTTGCTCCTCCGCTGTCTGGGGGTCGTAATAAAAGTCACCACCCGCTCTCACTGACACTGCATCACCCTCTTTACACTACAACACAAGAAAAAAAAAACAGTGAATAGGATTCTGTTTTCATTAATAACTTCAGCATATGTTCTGGTGATATAAACAAATATCTTTAGGCAATTATTATAATTTGAAAAATTACTCTGAAAAAAAAGAAAAAAAAATCAACTGTGACAAAGGATTATAAAACACACACACAATCCTGTATTACTTATTTTCAATGTTCAAAAGTTTTTGTCATTGATTACTATTGTACATACTACAGTAGTCATGGATACTAGTATGCATGTGCATTTTTTATAGTAAGTGATTAAATGATTTAATATGAAATTAAAATTGAAGTATTTAATCCTGTAATAACTATACTGAACAAAAATATAAACACACGAAACTAAAATGGTCAGTTGAAATGGATAATCATGAAATATGCCTAGGTTGGTGGTTTACAGAGGTATTTGTGAACTGATGGATTTGTTTTGATCAATTATAGTGGTCTGGTTTCACTTGGCCGCTCCCCATGAGTATACTCAAAGGTTCAGTTTTTACACCCATAAGACTAATGGAGCATGACGGAGTAGAGGTCAATCTGCAAGACCAATACTCAGACACTCTCTACCGTCTAGGCAATAAAAGGACACACCAAAATGTGTATTTCTGCCACTTGTCAACATGCCACAGATGTCTGGAACCATGAGGGAGCATGCCATCAGCATGCTCAATGCTGGCTTGTCAGTAACAGAAGTTGCAGCATGCCTGAATGTGCATCCTTCCACTGTCAGAGACACTGGTAGCATTAGGTACCACCCTCATGCACCATGTCACCCAACAAACACCTGTGGAATGTTCTGGATCAGAGTTTTCAGCCATCATATTCCAGCTCTCGAAAATGTTTGCCAACTGCAAGAAGCACTCCAGGAGGAATGGGATAATATCCCTTAGGCCTCTATTGACAACTTAGTGATGTCCATGCGCCGCTGGTGTACTGCTCTGCACAAATTTAATGGTGTCTGTGAACTCAGGATGTTGACCCC